CAAGAGTGTTGCAGCACGAGCTCTCAAATTGCACACACCTGGTTGATTTGGCTTGGGAGCTCTGCGACCAGTGTGGATGACGCTTCGCAGACGGTCGCAGTCAAGAAATGACTGCGAACTTCGCAGACGGTCGCAGTGCGGCTTTGTCGCAACACTTCGCAGTCAGTGTGCATCGGCCTTATGAGTTTAGTATGCGAAGACTGTGCCCAGACCGGAGCGAAGTATTCCTCAGCTGAGTAACACATTGCAATGGCCGTAGTTCGCAGGGTATGCGCTTTTGCTCCTCGTGTCGAGCCAGCTAGCTTGCTGAGAAGGTTTTTTCCGAGTTTTCACTTTAGGGGCTGTCTTTTTCAGGTGTTGTCGGAATGTCAATGTACGATCAAGGGTCACCCCGAGGTATACTGGATTTGGATTATGTCGCAGTTGTTGGCCATTTAAGCTCACAGCGAGTTCGTGTCTGGCGGAGGCATGGTGCAGGTGGAACACGCTGGACACCGTCTCGGTCGTACTTGGTTGCAGTAGCCATTGTCGGCAATAGTTTGCAACAGAAGCCAGGGGCCTGTTCCTCGCCTCTTCTAAACTTAGACTTAAATCTAAATCTAAATCTAAAAGCAGTCTAAAAGCAAAAAGTCGATTCTTCGCCCTGACCCTTTAGACTAAGATTTAGCCTAAGATTTAGATTTAGATTTAGATTTAAGTTTCGCAGAGGCGAGGAACGGGCCTCAGGTCTTTTTTCAAGGTAACTTCTAGGTTGGAGAAGTCATGTGATTGAAATCCAAGACAGATATCGTCTGCAAAGATGAACTTGCGTGATTTCGTCAGGGGTAAGTCATTGGTAAACATGTTGAAGAGAGTAGGGGCGAGTTAGCGGTGACTCACTACAGTTTCACTGGTTTTTTTTTTTTTAGTATTTGGTATTTTAAGATTTTTGCGGCAAGTTCTATGAATGTGGCTAAAATGATCCGTGATTCCAAACTCAGTGTGACTGATCAAAATGATCACTTATTTCGGGGCAGACAGCGACACAAGTCTCTGGGACTTTCGCAGGAAATGCATGACATTTCGCATAGTTGGTTACTCCAAATTGAGGCAGATTCGACTCAGTTAAACCTGGCATGAGAGGAGGGTATTACGTTTCCGGGCTGTCCTCATCTCTGCCGAGGAGGTGAGAGGGGGCCTGTGGCTAGGCCTTCAATGGAATAGTGCGGAGCTCCGAGCTATCTGCCGGTCGACGAAAGACTGGGAGAGGTGGGAAGGGGAGCGGAGATTAGGGAACTATATGTTGGTGAGTGTGAAGCGGCTGTCATTCAATGCATGTGCAGGGCTTGCCAGTCTCCGCTCTGCTCTACCTCCATCATGAACCTAGGCCCAGGCCTAACCCCACGTTTCTCGATGTCATTTCTTTGCTTGTGAGTCACGAAATGGCCTCTTCATCGTCCTTCAGCTCTTCGCACGAATCCAGGAACATGTCAGCTCTCGAAAGAGGTAAGTTTTTCCATTAAGCGACGACCAGGACGCAGTGGAAATGGTCAAACATGTAGAGGTTGTGCTCTCGGTTTCAGAGGTGTATTTCCTCGTCGGAAAATTCCTGAGTTCTGGTCCATGTCAGAAAAGTGCTCAAGTAAGTTAATCTTATATTGGATTATTATTTTTGAGGTTCGGAAGTGAAGGATGGTGGGCATTGATTGCGGTTTTTCCGCTGTTCGTAGGTGCTGAGGGAGGAATTGGAGGAATTGAAGGTAAGAGGGGATGACGTTCTCGGGACCTCGTGGCATCCACGTGGTCTCCCCAATAACGCAATCCAGTGCCTAACTCCCACTTGGCTTATATTTCATGTAGACGTCCGAAACGTTGGCTCCATATATTGACCTTGATTGTTATTCGTGTTACATCCTATTTTGCAGATTCTGCCCCCAAGGTGTGACTGGCTTGGACGCGAGAGGACTCAAACTTTTCTGGAATTGGTGAGTTTCGCGATTATTACTATATCAATCCGTGTCTGCTGATGATTGTCATGTGTGAATCTCATACAGTTATTCTCATGAAATGCATGCCATTCCCCCACACTGGTTTTGAATGAGGCATGCGTCTTGAAGGAAACGGCAAAACCCGGTCCGTTAGTCCGTTGCTAGTGGGTATCGAGAGGAATAATTTTTTTTTGTTGCCTCTGTGTGAGAGTGAGGATGAGAGAAGGGAAGGGAAAGGAAAAGGAAAGAAGGCGACAGGCCAAGCGCATGCCTCCATCTGCTCTACCATCTCATTGGTCCGCTTCCACGGGCTAAGGGGCGAGAAGCGTAGCAATACTCACTCTCACTCGCTCCCCCCCCCCCCTCTTCCATCCGCAGCTCCAACGCTCGCTCCGGCTCTTCGTCATAGCTTCGCTTTCGTTTTCATCGGAGTCATACTGGGCAGAAAACCATTACGTAAAATGAAGAAATAAAACTCCTTGTCACTATCTGATCTGAGACTGAGACTGCAACCTCAACTAGCTTTCCGACAGCATCCTTGTAAACGCATTCTAGGGCCCAGGGTTCATTGTTTCTCATTGAAAGTTCAGTTAAAAATCTAGTACAAGATTCTAACTGCACTTGCCCTCATGGCATGCGGTTTCACAGGGAAAGCGGCTTGAAGCTTGCATTATTCGTGCTTTCAATGACTTTATTCCCTTCCTCAGCAAAAAAGAGGCACATTAGTAAAAAAGAGCAACGGGGACACTAAATGTTCCCCCCCCCCCTCCTCCATATCTCAGGAATGCCTTAAGTATCATTCTGCAGATTAGGATTTTCAGGTCTTATGAGAAAGTAGAATAGTGGTATACTAGATCTGAACTGGATCCGAGGTCGGTCAGAAGTTGCTTTAAATACAAGGTGCCCCAAGTGAAGGAACTTGTAAGAGTTATAGATATGTTCCCAAAAATAATCAATGTGCCTTCACTTCATGTCAAGATGGGAGTGCTACGCGGGACGCATTGGGGCGTCCAAGGTGACGGGAAGGGACAGAACAAAGACTGGCAGAAATTTTGAAAATGTCGAACGAGCCTCAAGCCAGCAACTGCTGAAGTTGTTTCTTTATGTAAACCCTGCAGCAGATTGAGTTTGAAGATAAGGTGGGTGTAATATAGTGGGGGGGAGGAAGAGGTATGGGTACTTGTTTTTGGACTGTCTCAGAAAATTAGTTTGTCTCCTTGTATAAAAGTTATCTGTTGAGCAGTTGTATTTAGTTTAAATTTATATATCTACTTCAACATTCACATGCACCTGGAAACATGGTTTATTTTTTCTCCCTGAAATTAGTAGGCCTTAGTTTCATGCTGTGCATTGTCAGAGCTTGACCTGGATGGTTAGTCAAATTCCTAAGAAGGAAGTTGTAAGTAGCCATATTTTACTAGACATAAAATAAGTACCTGAAAAACTAGGATGGAATATTTGTCCAGTGTTGGTGATGATGTTCAAGGGTTTCTTGAAGCATTTGGATCATCACATCACAGTGGCCTGTACCCAATTAGCTAAGGATATTTTTTGGAGAGCCCAGCAGGAATTTTCCAGTTTTATTCATAACCACAACATCAATTTCTATTGTCATTGACAAATACAAAAATTATGAGAGCATCATGAAAAAAAGCATGAACTGTTAGATTTATCTAAATCTGCTATCTTCTTACTGTAAATCTACACACTTATGTCCTGCTGTCATGCTGTTTCCTTAGTGCATTAAATGGCCATAAATTATTAATTTTCTCTCATCATTGCTACTTCTTGCAAATTTTCCTGAACATAAAAAGTTTGCATGAACAGGAGTTCCACAAAAACTGATTTCACTGCACCAAGGTGGAACATCATCATGGTATGAAATGTTGTCAATACTTCCATTACATTCATTTTGTGCTGGAGTACAACAGTGCTATTGTGAAATTGAGGGTCAAACATGTTCATGATGGTAAATGCATAGGATGCTGCCATTTTCCCAACATTGGCTTGAATATGGGAAATGGCTTGGCAGTGTGATATGTTGGGAATATTTGTGCAGATATACTTTGTGGTTCCAACAACATTGGTATCATGAAAAATCTTCACACCATTCTTTGATCATAGTGCATATGCATGTTTAGTTCAAAACTCTTTTTCACAGAGGAATAAATTGCACTCTGAGAGGAAATGGACAGCACTTTCCACTTGAGTGGACAGTATGTCATAATTGTCAATGTCCAGCAGGTGATAACCCTATTGATGAGGTCAGTGTAGATAGCACTTCATTATGCTGGGTTGCATGCTGTTTTTGTTCTTGCATCTAACAGGAACGACAGTATTCTCATCTGGAGGGAGATCATTTGCTTCAGATTCTGTCTCGTCTCCCTGCCTTGGTGGACAAGGAAGTAGAACCAGCAGTCTCAGGTCTCAAGACTCTCCTTGGAGCTGGACGACAGTCTCTTCTCCGCTCTCCTGGTAATTCTAGAGCTTTTCTGAGTTAAATATGGAGATAGATTTTTTAAAGTTTATTTCTAATTTTATCATGCTAGCAATTGTCTTCCTGAGAAAATCAAAGGCAATGTAAGGAAAATCAAATGAAATGACTCAATTTCATAGTACTTAATTACCTGTCATGACATTTCCTCTACTCCTGAAGTAGAAATTTTCTAAAAGAAACAGCCATGTTATTGTCATTTGCACAAATAAAATACTCTTGCCAAGTTTAGATATAAGTTTGCATGCAATCATGAGAGCTGCCTAAAATTGCACATAGTCTTATGTTCATTTCTTCTTGTAAGGGCAGAAAACTGTTATGATGTTGCAGGAGCTAGTAATGTTTCGTGGTCGCTGAAAAAATGTTATGTGAGGCTGCATGGGAAACGCCTCATCAGACCTGGGCTTAGTCATCGAGGAAACCTTGGTAAGAGTGCTTGCTCATAAGTGATGTTAAATTTTTGGTGGGAAATTTAGGTTGTAATATTTTTTGTGATGGTTTTCCTTGTAGCCCAAATACTGATTGGACGTGAAACCTCGGCTGGTTCAGGTCCAAGTGACTTGGTGCCCCCCTCAATGATGAAGCACATGGTGCTGCAAAGGAGGACTCTTGGTCATATCTCAGCAGTTTATTGCCTTGCCTTTGATCGCACTGGCAGATACATATTCACTGTAAGCCCTTCCAGTAACATCTTCAGTTTCCGTGCCTGGAAGCTGCCATATATGTGGTTGTATTTTTTTGCTGATTTCTCTTGTGCAAGGGAGCTGATGACAGTCTGGTGAAAATATGGAGTGCATTCACTGGAAGACTCATAACAACGCTTCGAGGAGCCTCATCTGAGATTACTGATTTGGTTATCAATGATGAAAATACCCTCATTGCAGCAGGGAGTACAGATAAAATTATTCGGGTTTGGTGCCTGAAGACAGCTGCACCTGTGAGTGTAATCAGATTTTCCCTGCTTATTTGTATATATTATGCCTTCAAGTTAAGGGAAAATGCTTCCGAACAAATTCATGAATTGAAAAGAAATTTGCAAAAGTCACAACCAAAAGCCAATAATTGATGAAGAGTCACTTTTTAAGTATTGAACTGATTGGATATTGAAAATAGACTTTGTCTTAGAACTGGCTCTATAGGAATTTTTTAATCACCACTAAGTTAGAGAACTCTTACAAGCATAGTTGCCAATCTTTCCATCTCCCACCTAACCACAAAGGGGCATATGGTCTCTTGAGGGTAATCCATGTGAGTCATACCTTGTGGAAGAATATAATGAATCAATCATTGTGTTATGAGGACATAAGGGACCAGTAGATTTTAAAATGCAAAAGATCTTTCTTTTTTTTCTCTCCTCGAGCTTTAAGGGGTTGTGGTTGTGGGTGTACTTTTGTCTTTTAACCATTGGCATATGATTTAATCTAATAATAATTATTTAAAAAATAAACTTTTACATGAAAAAATATTCTCAAAGCCTATGAAATGAAAAGAGAAACTGCTAGTATATAGAGAAATGCTTGCTCCTGCCATCAAGTGCAATCATTTTGAACTACATCACCATTAAACTTAAAAACAATGCAGGAAAAGTGATGACGAGTAGCCCTGGTCATTATAGACCAATGGGTCTTGCCAGTCAATGTTGAGGTATGGAAAGTATGCCTGTCTAGCCCTGTAAATGTGGTGGATTGTCCTGAAAGAAAGGATGCATTTCAAAAGGTTCAAATTTGACAGTGTAGAAAATCAACTTTAGCCCTGGCTCTGGTACAGTCTTTAGTTAGATGATCTGGATTTTTTCTTTAAAAAATTTGGATTTTTTGTTGCATATGGGTAGTAATCCTTGGCCAAAAATTAATGGAGAGAAAGGTAGATCACATTGGTCAATAGGTGTAAGCTGGCACACTTACTGCCAATCCCAAAAATAAAGATCATGCCCAGGATGAGTAGAGCACAATCAAGTGATTCAGAAGTGATGTTTAGTAGAGATGAGCAGGGTAGGGAATGGCAGAAAAAGTTGAGTCATTTGAGGAAGAATCAATGTTTGAGATCTTGAAAAGGATGTATAAGTGTAATATTAGGGTTCTTTGTTTCCTTCCTCACAACAGGGACTCAGGAAACAGAGAATATTCATACTTTGACAAGGAAGATCCATTATATTGTTTATGGATGTTTATCTGGAGGTTGCCAGACATGCTTCTGGTGTTAGGATGAGCATATTCTCTGAGTTCTTATAACTGAAGCTCAGAGGCACTCTTACCTGTACATTGAAAAAGCTTGAGTGATCTATTTTGAGGAGATATGATTCCATTTGAATTGAGTTTTGGTCACAGGTTGCTGTCCTGCCTGGTTTGAGTGCAATGACCAATGCCATCCTATTTTGTTCTGCCACTGGAGATCTGACACGCCATCGGTACTTGGTCACAGGCAGTGGAGATGGCACTGTTGCCTTTTGGACATATACTGTTGATCCCGATGGACGAAATGCTCAATTTTGGTATGTAATTAATGTCTAAGAATATTATCAAATTTATTTGGAATCAGCTGGATATTGGTAAATATTTGTAGATATAATTGACATTTGAGCTGTCAGTATTTAGCATGCTAATGTGTTGAGAATTTAAAAGGGACTCATGTCTGTAAGACTTACTGCAACGTCTAGCAAAATTTCCCTGGTATAAGAGCTTCCAAAAGTCTGAAATAATTAACTTTTACAGTATTGTTCTTCTCCATTGACTCCATATTGGTGTCACTGCATTGGTATTGGAAATTTTGGAGCCCTGGTATTGGCATATTGGATTGGCCAATTTTCAATATTTTTGCTCTTATGGTATGTAATACTTGTATTATTGCCCTCTCTTCTAATAATTATTTTACTTTCATCATCATACATGAGCCTACTATTAGTATGCATGATTTGACAGCTTTATTATTTATTAACTTTTTTTTGTGAGAATTTTCCCCCAAAACTTCATATGCTTTTATTCAATTTCATGAAAATGTACTGGATACTAAGACTCAGCAAAAATCTTGCCATATTAATATACATTATACTTGGTGCTACCCTTTGCTAGGGGTCTGCAGCCAGAAGTATGCAAAAAGGTTTCTTTGCACCCAATGCATCTAATATCCTGGAGCCTCTGCCTCCAGAAGTTAGTTATTGCACATCAAGAATTAGTTTGAATTTGAGTTATATCAAAAGTATTTGGGATTGTGAAAGGTGATACTAGTTTCTTACAATTGTATAAGCAGTTTCTCGTGTATCTGGATTGTGTCATTGAGTAAAGCATTTTCATGTTTATTTCCTCTTTGTACAGCCCTCATCCTGAAAAATTCCATGAGAGGATGAGACCAGGACATGCCTCTATACTTTGCTTGTCCTTCAGCATGGGTGGCCATTTCCTTGCATCTGGCAGTGCTGATCATCATATAAGGTACATTAAATTCACTGCATTGTTCTCTGTTGAGCTATTGTCTACTGCAAGTGATTGTTACTTGCTAGAACATGAGCTATTCTTCTCAGTTCTTTACAGTTTTTTTATTTTGCAAATCAGAGCAGGTTTTCTTAAAACCTATATATACCATACCATGCTGTACTGGTTTGGATCTTATTATGTTGATTTTTTCTTTTCAAGGGTATATCATTTGTATGGGAAAGGTGGAGTCGAGGGTCCCAAGCGTATTCTGGAATCAGAAGCACATTCAGAAAGTGTAGATAGCATTCAGTGGGCCAATCAATCCATGAGGTTTGTCTCGGGTTCCAAGGATGGCACTGCTCTCATCTGGAGCTATCATTACAGAGACTGGTCTCAGGTTGTCCTCAAAATGAGTACAAGGCTCAATGGGTGAGCAGTGAAGGTTTTTTATGTGTGCATGTTTGTGTCCTGTCTCTCACATTTCATGCTTTATTTTGTTACCAGGGTTGATTGTAATTGTGTCCAGGCCAGATTTGGGAATTTTTATTTTTTTTTTGGGCAGATAAGTCTCTTTCAGTGTTCAATACCTGTTTGCAATTTACCTAATTCTGTATAATTGCAGTGGAATGAGGCTTCCCCACCTTTTGCATTGTGCATTGAATTTTTTTTGAAGAAATCACAGTTTGTATCATCTCATATTCCAAATTATTAGTATGCAACATAAAATCTGAGTGTTCTGGAGGAGATAGTATGCATGCAAGGTAATTGCTGGCTACTGGTAAGCATTTTATGGGATTCCTGAATCCAATGCTGAAAGTGGTCCTGAAAAAGTTGGGAAACTCAATATTTGTGTCAGAGAATTCTTGAAGCAATGAGAAATGTGATATGCTCAACTCTGGTATGTCATAGAAAAAAAGGAAATGAGGTGACGAAACAGTTCTCATTGAATCCCATGAAATTGAGTTAGCAGAAAGGAGAATACAATGTTATACAGGGTGGACCAAAAAAAAAAAACAAAGCTCTCATTTTTTGTGAGATGTCAATATGATTGTAGGCTCCCAATTATGATGAAATTTGGTGTACATATTGGGTTACAATTTGGGTTTGTGTGCCAAGTTCAAAATCAAAATGCCAAAAACTGACAATGGCATTAAATTTACTTTAGAACACAAAAAGTATGTTTTCACCTACTTTAACGCCTAATTTAAACCTACAATTTTGCCACCAGATTCATAAAATTTATTTGGATGACATATTCAAGTCCACTCCTTGACATTTTTGCTGGAAAATTCACTCATTTTCTTTGCTCCATATCCTTCAAGTCGCAAATTTGTAATAACAAGATCTTTGTCAGGTATTTTTGGCATTTTTGACAATTACCTTTCACCTGAAACACTTTTGGTCCTGTATCATTATGCCATTCCTCTCTACATTATACATGGCACTCATGTTAAAGCTGATAATCAATTTCCTACCATTCATTTTGGAAACTTTTATCTTCCTCTATGCTTGACATTACCAAGTTTGAGTTATCCTCCACATTACCCCTCATAGAAGAGAATGTGATTTTGTGATATCCTAACCATTGAGGTGCTTTGTACAACTTGAGGTTTCATACATTTACAATATGTTATACTCATTGAGCTTTCTTGATCCACTTGAAACAGTCTCTAAACTTTGTGGTAGCTGAATGAATGCAAATTTTCTGCAATTCAAGTTTGACCACCTGCCCTGATTTTAAATTTAAATCTGTTTTCTGAATCTCAAAGTATGGTCAGTTGTTGTGGGTCCTGCTATCTCCATCCATTAATTTGTCTTCTTGCATTTAAGTTATACCTCTGCTTAGTTCCCTTCCATTTAGGGGGCGTAATAAAATAGTGATAAAAGAATGTTAGCAGTTTAACTAGTTTTAAATGTTAGATCTAAAATTCATAATTGAGATTTGTCTTTCTCTAAATCAGTTCAAGTGAGGAAGGTGAAGATGGTCGAGGGCAAAAGGTGAGAACAACAATGGTTGCATGGACAAAGGATGATCGGCATGTGATCACGGCTGTATCAACCAAGGAATTGAAGATCTGGGATTCTCTTTCAGGTTGGCTATGTTTGTATTTAATGTCACATCTTGTAAAAGTGATGATTAAATCTGGTAAACACATTGCATTTTGTTGCCACATACACAGGATGGGCATTGAGGAAGTATTGATTTGAATTAAAGCAATTCATACACGGAAATTAGTGACACTTTGATGAAGCTCACATTGTTTTATGTTCTCACAATTGCATCCACCTTTCAAATGGCCTGATTTTTTTTTGCATTTTACTCACATTCATATTGTCATGAAAAAGAGAATTTGTCAGTTTTGGTCTTGTGTTGTCTTCATAGTCTTTCAGCATTTGGAGAATGTGACATACCTTTTCATACCAACTACTGGATATTGTTACTCTGCTTTATGCAACCAGCTACAGCTACAGGCTGACCTCTTCCAAAATATTGAATGTGTGCTCTCAAGATCCTCAAAACATGTTGGCCACCTTGGAAGGAGTATTGCTATGCATGACATGTTTGCCATAGTCAGTCCTCTAATGAAAATGCAAAGTCTTTGGTTCTAGTATTGGGCCTGTCATCTTACAGTGCCTTTTTCACTTATCCCTTAGTTAAGTTTTGTAGCCATGCACTGTCAAAGGAGAAAGGTTAGCCTTGTAAAATGTCACTGTTAGTGCATGATTTAGGGAATAGATTTTCACTCCTGAATCCTATTTGTTTCTCTTTCTTCAGGGATTCTTCAGCATGTGCTGAAGGGGCACAAGTATGATGTGTATGTGATGGAACCACACCCTTTGGATCCAAATGTCCTCCTCACTGCAGGCCATGATGGTCAGCTTTTTGTTTGGGATCTCAACCGTGGAGTTGAAGTTTTGCGTCATTGGAATGGGATTGAGCAGCAAGGTTATGGTGCCCTCTTTGATGCCAAATGGAACCCCATGGGACACAGTTTTGCTGCTACTGATTCACATGGCCATTTACTTCTTTTTGGCTTTGGTTCACCAGCTCACCTGTCATATGAGCGTGTGAGTTGTTGCCAGACCTCATGTCCTTCTCCAATTGCTCTTACTCTTTCTTATGACTCATGAATCCTTCCTTTCAGCTGTCAAATCCATTACATTGCAATTCTATGCCCAAAAATACTGGCAGGAAAGTTGAGATTTAGTTGCATGCCCAGCAGAATATATTGTTTCTAGAGTTTTCTTCCTGGTTCCTGTGGATTTTGCACTATCACTTACTACTCCCCTTTCTCCCTCCCTCAATGTGGCAGTGATTCCCTGACATGATGAATGCTCAAGGATATCTGATGCAATGCAATTTGCATGTTAGGCCTTGGGTCTCTACTATTTCATGTCTGGATCCTCATGATAAATGATTTTGCTACATGCAACAGGAGGACTAATGCCTATGACAGAACTGTCTCAAAGTATAGTGATGAAACAGATGGATCTTTTAATTTCTATAAACTTATTTTTTCCTGTCATTCCTAATCAGATGGCCTTAGATCTCTAAGGCCATCTGATTAGGAATCTGATAGTTTTTCTCAAGTCTGATCCAGTTTATTACTTCAATAATTGGCCTTCCTGTCATTACTGTATGCACTTCGCACTTCTGTCCATTTAACCTTTCAGACCTGGTGTCCATTTGAATGGACATTGCTTTTTCATTGTATCTATGGTATTTTCTTGGGATTCTCATGACTTTGCACCCCATGTTACACTACAATGGGTGCAATAATGCATGGCTCATTTCTATCAGAGACCTTCTTTCACCCATCTGCTTTGTAATCTTCAATTATCTAATTAAATGTATAATATATTATATGTGGTATGAGATGGTAAATTTATACTGCCACTGTTGGTTTCAGCCGATTTTGGTGCTATAATGAGGGTGGTGCTAAATCGAAATGCATGGCTTTAAAATTGAGAAAAATTTTCATCTTTATATAAAATATGTACAAACTTTCACTTTAATCCATGCAGAATACACCAACTGCACAGCTTTGAAAAATAATTCTATCTTTTCCATCCATGATTAAATCCAATGATTTCTTATTTTAATGAGTATAACTCCTATGCTCACATTGCCCAAAACACAAAAATTGTTCACAAAGTTTATCTGACTTTTGACCACATATGCCTCCTTCTAACAGCACACTTCCAATTTTTCCTTAACTCTTAAAATTGTTCTTTGCCCCATTGTTGGGTAGTGAATAAATGTGAACTGTCGGCTGGAGAAGCTGTGTACAATCTGAATGGGACGTTTCCATCCCCCAAAAGAAGAGAGAGGGAATTAGAGGGAACCATATGTGCTTCCCTCTAATGCCTGGAGGTCCATTCTAATGCTAAGATATCCCTCACAATCTATCATGAGATCAAAGGGGCAGCCTTAAATTTTATACATGGTGCAATTATTGTGGCTTGTACAGTATGCTGCTTGGTGCAATATTGAGCAAGACTTACATAGAATATGACACGTTTGTGCAAGTGAAGGTGTTGGCACATGGCGGCTAGTAGGGGTGGCGCTATAATGGGGGAGCACCTATGGTAAGCCTATAGGGAAGATTCATTCTCAGAAAGGAGTTGGCGATAAGCAAGAGTGGTGTTATATCAGGTGGCACTATATTGAGAGAGTTGACTGTAGATTGAAGCTTCTGGAAAACTTGTGTTTCACTTTGAAAGCAGTATATAACAGAGCTGTTTCTCATTTTCATGCAGGTATGGTTTTGTGAATTGAGTGGTACAGGCTTTTCATATGTAAAAGATAGGTCTAATGTACCAGAATACCTATGTCTTGTTGCACAAAATATATAACTGTTGACACAATGATGGATATGCACAACTAAGTTTTATTGTGCAGGTAGGTGTTAGAAGTTGGTTAGAATTCTGATTAAACCTTTTCTGAAGACCTTTAAGTTGAAGAAATTCCTGCCTCTGTGCTCTTAATGCCAGTCTTTTAGCCTCATCTGCACTAGTTTTGGTTATTTTCACTCTTCCTATCAGAAGATTTCAACTAGTCCTATCACCTTCATACTGGTCCTCTGAGTCTTTGTTGGTAGAATATGTCTTTTCATTAAAGTGTTAAGTTTTCATGACTTTATCTTTTTGATCATCAGCTACCGGAGCAGTTGTTCTTCCACACTGACCTACGGCCATTGATGCATGATGCAGCACACCATGTCCTGGATGAACAGACCCAACTCCCACCCCATCTGATGCCTCCACCTTTCTTGGTTGATTTGGAGGGAAACCCATATCCACCCAAATTCCAAAGGCTGGTTCCAGGCAGAGAAAACTGCCAAGAAGAGCAACTTGTACCTCAAGTTGTCTATGATGAAGATGGTGAGTATAGGATTTATGCAGAATCTTGGAACTTAGCCTTTGAAGTTTAGGATATGAAGAGCCATCTTATATTTCTTATAGATATTTTAAGGTATAACATGGTGCAAGATGCTTTTACCCAGTTTTACTTGTTTCCGTTTTTGCTTTCTCCTTGCTTACAATATCCCAATAGGTATTGCTTGAATTTTATTGTCATTGGGATTGTATACCTGTCAGACAAAATAAGAGATGGGGAAACAAGGTAGGGTTCATGAAACAATGTCCCATGTCTTATTCTGTTAAAAATAAAAAAAAAGTACAGTTGGAAAAAAAAACTGTACCAAAAAACAAAAAGTGAAGCAAAATATGACTCTAGCCACAGTGCTGAACCATCATTTGTCCAACTGCACAATACAAAGTCCTATTAATGGTTTCACTCTCTTAAACTGTATCAATTCCAGCCCCATAGGGAACAATTAGAGTAGGAAGATGGTTGCATGGAAATGGCTACCTCTTTAGAACATGTTGATTGCACTATTTTCTGTTCTGGGGAATAAATGGTTTCACTTCATGGTGCTAGAAATCTGCATCTCTCATTCATGTCAGGAAAATAGATTTTTACAGACTTACTTTTATAATGTGTTCTTGTTACAGGTGATCCCATGGTGTTGGATGATAGAGGAGGTGCTGGCCCTGGAGAGCAAAGAGAGAATCTTTCCAATATTGATCAAATGATTGAGCGCCTTGCCATTGAACAAGGCCAAGCACCAGCTGAGGTTTCACCTGTGAGGAGGCATCCAGCAGAAGGCACAAGGCAAAGTAAGTACAGCACATCAGGGCTTGACCCTTCAATCTTTATATGGAGCCTCCCATGCCTGTTTGCACTCATGCATGATCACTGGCATCTTGTGTCGTTATGAAGCTCGAGCTAATAGGATTCAGCGGATGGGAGAAGGGAGTTCAAACGAGGTACCTGTGCATGCTGAAGCCACCAATACTGTCGTGTCCATTGCCAGGAGACGGGTCATTGTTCCTGAACTTCCTTCTTGGCAACTCAAGGCTATATTGCAATACAGGTATACAATTACTGGATAGAAAGCAACTTTAGTTGTATCTCTTTTTCCAGGATGTCCATGCAAGTGTGAGATCAACTTTTGACAAGAATGAAACAATGGCATGTCAATTTTCCATCATTTTTCATGTAGGCTTGCACTTCTGTACAGAGATCATGGCCCCTAATCATTGCAAGTAAATGAAGATGAATTGAAAAGAAAGCTTGACTGGTAGTACACAGGTGGGGTAAAAAATTCACCATTTTTCATTTGATAGTTACTTCTGTATTAATTAAAGATGTACTCATGTAATTTGAAGGGACATAAGTACCTCTCTTCCTGATGAGTGAGAGGTGAGTTAAAATCAGGTTTTCTCAGTCCAATCTAATCCACTTGCAGCTTGCATTGCTTGACTCTAATCCAGGGAAATCCTATGAACAAATTATCAAGGTCAATACTAACTGAGACCAATTTTTATGTTGCAGGTATCCATCTGAATCCGATGATACCTGCAGTTATCCAACATTATAAAGATCTTGTTGTGCCACTGTAAGATTAAGAAGTAGCACAGCCATCACATTATTATGCAATCTTGAATATCTCATGCTTTGCAAAGTTTTCTTACCAGAGGGCCAATGTTTTATTGCAATATATCAGTTGATTTCACAAAAATCTAAGATCAGAAGCACAAACCAAGCAACAACAAATAAATCTATCTGTTGTAGAGCCCATATCAGTGTTTGAGGTTGCCATCTTTTTCTCCCAGAAAATTCCCCATATTATCATATTGTGATTGTGTGGTCTCTGTTTTCTGAAAGGAAAGAGGACACTTGCAATATCTGTTCATGGGCAATTATAAAATGGTTGCCTGCCTGTCTTATCTACTCTATGGACACAAGCATAACCTTTTGAAGAAGTGCCATTAGCTGATGTCTGCTATCTTCAGCTTCATGAGGATGATGTTGCTGGGGTTGCATACAGAGTGGGCCAAAAAATACTTTGGTTATCTTTATCACTCCGCAACACTGTTCCCCTAGAGTTTGCTAAATTTGCAGTTGCACCTCCATATATATCATTCATTCAGCTTTCCATTGTTGTCAATAGAATTAAGATTCGTGGTATAACATTCATGCATTTAAATAAAGAACGTAAGAGGTGGCACTGGAAATGTAGACAACGTCTTGGCAAGATAGTGAATGTGCAAACAAAGGAATGGATGTCACCTGAAGTGCATCTTACAGGGTGCTTGTCAGCTGAATATAAAAAAAGTGGCTATTAACCCCTTAATGTACCTTGTGCCCATTCACTCATGAGGGCTCCATGCAGGCATAGTTAATCAGTTTTAACTGTGGCAATTGATTAGTTGTCTAATTACAGCTGATATTGTCTTGAAAAAATCTTTAAATTAGAATTTGCTCCTTGAGTGACATTTTATGTTTTTTGCAAACAAAGAATATGGGGGAAAAATCGGCCTGGCATAATTTTGTACTAAAAGAATTAAAATGATTTAATTAAAATTTTAAAATGCCTATTTTGATTCGGATGTTGCTGCTGATAGTCAGTATTTCATATAATATTCATGACATTCAATTCTGAGACCTCCTAATGAATTTTATATTTATAAATAGGAAAGTGCTGAAGGAAGCAGAGTTGGGTCACTTTGATCAGGAATCAAGGAAAGCAAGACCTCAAAAAGAATCGGAATATCAGAGATCAGAAGACAGGGAGAGCTATTCAGGGAACTGGTTGCGATCTCGACGACTGAGAGAGGCTCACACACAGCATGGTTATAGCACCCGAAGAAGTCGACACCTTCGGAGTCCTGTGAGTTTTTATGCTTCTGTTTTCTTCACAACTGCCAACAATTTGGAAACCCCTTATCTAGGAATTTACCCCAAACCAAAATAGCTTCATTACCCTAATAATTGTAGATCTCTACTTAGGTGGTTCAACATGACCCAGTTGGGATGAAATCAAATGAAGCTCAGAATAATTTATTCCTTCTGCTGCAGGAACTGAGTTTTTTGTCATGCCTGGAAAAGCATTCTCAAATGATATGCCATAATTGTAAAACTATTTATATGGATTCACTTGAATCAGGATTTCTGCATTCATGGGCTTCAACTAATGCATCTTTTGTTCTTGCTGACAGTCCTGGTGAGATGTAATCCCTTTGGGAAATGCCTGGTATGATGGCCCTGTAGCATTTTGTTCAGGGTTTTTCAAAATGACAGAAATAGAGCAAGTAGCAAGATAGGGCTTTTTTCTGATTGGAAATTGCTGACTTACATGTAACACATTCCTTTATTGTCTTGAAGGATCCAGTTCCAAATGGGAGAGAGTCAAGAAGTGCAACAAACTCAGGGGATGAGATTCAACGTGAAACCCATGATAGGCAACAGGAAACCGACAGCAGTCAAAGTGAATTAACTGAACAGGGAAATCAAGATATGGAACAAGATAGAGCCAGTTCACCTTCAAGCTCTTCCTCCTCATCAGATTCTTCTGAAACTTCTGAGTATTCCGATTGGATGGCAGAGGCAGGAGTGCGCATGGAACCTCCAAAACGGACAAGGAAACGCACTGTACAAGCTCCATCAAGGCAGCAAACTCATGGAAGACTCAGGACCAGAAACCATTTAAGTTCCAGGCGTTCCAACCATCAGAGATCCAATCAGGAGCATTCCACCCCCAGTCAACGAAGACCTAGGGTGAGTTTCAGGCCAGTCATATTCTTTTTGGGAGAAAAGAAAACCAAAATGAATAAATATTAACCATATGGTAAGTTCAGAAGAAAGGCAATGGAATCTCTGTTTGCTACTTATATCTACCATTCACAATGAAGAAAGACTGGACTTTTCTGTTAGCACATCATTGACCTAATAATTTTAAGTGTGTAACTCCAATTTATGACAAATGAAAGGATCAGTCAATTTTTTTTTTACTTTCATCATGAAAACTATGATTTCAAGAATGGAGGAATGTGAACCTCCTTCTGTGTGATGTGGAATTCCAGGATTGATATGCATATGGAGTGCTGTGCTGTGTAATACTCTTAATAAAATGCAAGTTTGAGAGTGGCAGTGGAATTATGAAGTTGAAGGCTGACTGTTTTTATTTGATTTTATAATTCATACAAATTTTATTTGCTGTATTCCCACTGTGTGTGTCTCATGGTTTTCATCTAGTTCCCTGTGAATTTAATTATCATAGCCTACTGGGTTAGTGCTTGAAAAGACATGAATCATGATGCTTTGAATGCTGCTGAACTACTTTATTTTACAGTCCAAATGCATTTAACCCCTTAATATTTTTCATGGGAAATTTTTTTTTCTTCAACTTTTCAATATTTAACCTTCATCCTGTTTCCCATACAGAAATCCGATAAAAAATGTTGGTTGGCTTAATGGCTGAGATCTCCTTAATTAGATATTGAATGGGCATCATATTTGATGCACACAGTGCTGGAAAGTATAGTTAGATGTTCTTAATATTTCATTTCTCAACATAACAATTGTGTCTTTCAAAGCAAATGGACATCATGTTGAACAAAGGGAAACTTGGAAAAGTTTTTACTATCATTTCCTGCACAGAACCCCTTTACATGATTGGCTCTCCCAGATAGAGCTCTTCACTGCTCCTTGTCATTGTGCAGGGTCATTCATGAAGAAATAAAATGCTGTAATGATAGGGAATTGCATTTCATGTAACGATTCATATAGGTGCATTCTCTTCATTAGTATCATATTGATAGTTTCTTTATTGAGGGACCTAACCTATAAATGATTATCACAGCAAGAGAAATGTATGAAATAATAATGACTTCCTGCTAAGGTTAAATATTTAGGGGCAGAATGACTTTACAAGATATTAGGAGTAATTTCTTCTCAAGAGGAGATTGAGTGTCTCAAATAAGATGGAGTGGTTTGAAGCAAGGCCTGGGAAGATTCACAGCCTGTTCTACTTCTAGGTAATACATATTGGTGAAGTTTTGCATGATCACTTACAGGAAGGTGGTGAAAGAAAATTGTTTGCAATATGGGTAAGTGGGAATTGAAAAACTGGCCTGTGACAATTTCAGTGTGTGCTCTTTTTTCATAAGACCAGATGCAGCTTTGGCACCAAACTCAAGGTTGAGATAACTCAAGCACCACCCAACCTGCTGTAAATAGTGCCATTTGATTTAGAATAATTAAGTAGGATATATATTTGTTTTTTTTGCAGTTTTTTAACCAAAACTTGGTTGGAAGTCGTGTCACAAGCTGGTTTTAAAAAATTCATTCCAATCCACAAATATGTCCATAGGTGTGGACCTTGCACGTGAAAAGGTTAAATGCATGACATTTTAAAATATCTCAGGTTAATGTTATTAAAATTATTGCAGTAGCTACTGTGACTTGGGGGAAGTGGTGACCCTGACCTGCAGTGAATGTAGTATTGCAAGTTGGTAACTCTTTGTCTTTCAGTCAGTACGATCTGGTCGAGGGGAAGGACAAGAGGAGCTGGAATCATCCAGTGAGGAAAGTGAAGAGAGTGAAGAGATTCCTGAAATATTCAGGCCAAGCAAATGGCTAAGTGAAGTGCGGCCAAGAGACACTCCTTATTTTCCTCAGATGGGAGATGAAGTGATGTACTTCAGACAGGGACATGAGTTGTACTTGGAGCATGTTCAGAAGACAAGTGCCTACTCCCTAAACCAAAGGGACAGACCCTGGAATAGAGTCTGCAATATACGTGTGAGTTCTTCTTTCTACTTATTGCTATGTTGGGACTGTGCTCGACAGAATTCTCTCTCAAATTATTGAATGGGCAGTAGTTTGTCTGTGTGAAGAGCACATTTCAGCCAATTTCCTTTAGAGAAGGAGATTTCAGAGATTTTGTTCTCTTTTTTTAGGTCAGCTGCCTTCTATTCATGCTTAGTTTATAGTTTTCCTATAACTGCAACCCACAAGTCTCCTTTGTGGTTCTATGTGATGGTTTTTAGGAAACTTTGTCATTACTCTTTTCAGTTGCTCCATTGTGCTTTGGAATAATTGTTCACAGCATCCAAAAATTGTTTTAGGAGTAATACTTTAAGGGAATAAAATTCCTAGTTGCCAATCATGTACTGAAAAGTGAACCTGCTCCCAGTATCAACATCCATCCTGTCCTACATTTCTTGAAGATGTATAAATAGTTGCAAGTAGAGGGTGTGGTGGGGTATAAGTTACCATGCATGATTGGAACACTGCCAACTCATTCAGTAAATATTTGTGAAGCATTTTTCTGATTGGTGCGCATAACATGCCACTATTCATACTTTGATATGATATATTTAGAGCTTCTCCATGTTTCAAGAAAAACATCTTCACCTCAATTCACTGGTTCACTGGTTGAAAAATCAGGAATTCAAAGTTTTACACTTCCACTGAAAGTTCATTTTCTCCCAACATAATGTTACGAGCTGGAAAAGTCCACATCTATTTTCATTTCAAAATTTACAATTAGCAAAGTGGGACTCAGTTCCAATCCTACCTCATCACCTATTGAGTTCAGTGTTACTGTTGGTCCTTGGAGAGCTGGGTCAGGGGTTAATTATAACTTTGTACCATGTATTAAGAGTGACCTTGTGAAAGAATGTTTTCCATATTGTGCATCAAATTTTTTAAATCTTACTGCCTTGAATGAAAAATATAGAAAATTCATTTTTACATAACTAATTTGTGCTGCATGGGACATATCCACAAAGAGAGGAATTAGTGAGAAGGCAACAGTGAAAACTCCAAAAAGAAAAGGACCAGAGAAGATGTGACAAAGAAGGCCTATGACTCTTGGAGATGATCATTAGGATTCTTAAAACTGACCCAAAGCTACATCCAGAAGACACATATTCTGTTTCTCATTTCAGTGATGTTGGAGATTATGTTCAGAAGTTCAGAAGCAAGCCAGAAAATTTTTTAACAGGAGAGGAGGAGGGGAAGTGGAAGGTAATACAGCAGGGGTTGGAAACCTTTTTGGCCACATGAATCATATTAAGATTGAGCTAAGTGCTTGTAAGGGAAAGATTTTCAGAACAATTGAAATTTTCCTGAAGTTGGCAGCATACATATGCATTCTTTGATATGTGAGAAAAATTAGGAACAACCATGATTTTCAGCCATGCCTCAATGAGCCAAACTTTTTGGCTTGTGAGCCAAATTTGGCTCATGAGCCATAGGTTCCTGACCCCTACAATACAGTATTACCTCGCTATATGATATTGATGCATTCCTGAAAACTGAGCATATAGCAAGCAGATTGGGACAGTAATACCTTGCCACACACTGTTTCTCAACACACTTGCTTTGGTTTTATGCTCATTATATGTTATGACTAACTCCCAATCCACTCGCTATACACTTGGTTTTTCAAGAATGCTTTTATCTTAGTCAAGTCTTCATCTTTGTGCAGTTATGATTTATATTGATTTCTATTAAGTTTCAGTCTTAGTTAAGCTAAGATCTATGTGCAAGTTAGGATCTGTAAGTCAGTTCTATTGAGTGCTTTGGGTGGGTCAAATTGTTTGGGTTTTCAACCTATGAAAACAGGATTGTTGGACTTGGATATGACTTTTGAAAAAGAAAATTAAGAGAAAAAAGAATAAAGAGGCACTTGGGTTGGATGAGGTAGGGCTTCCTCTCCATTTTACTTCCTTTCTCTAAACCAATCCAAAGGGCTTGAAAAAAGAAGCAGAGTGGCTCTGCCTACTTAAGCTTCATTAGATTATTTGATCAAGATAACATGGTGATGTTGTAGGGTGTGATGCTGTCACATAATTTAGTACTGGAGCTCAGTCCAATCCCAAGACCATCTGTAGTATTTAATACAGGAATGGGATCAAGCAGGTTCTTGCAACATTTTCAACATCATGTTGGGTAACACCTTCAGTAATTTGGTCTTTAACACTTTTGCTGCCAATTGACTTGCCAGCGGATCGTACGTCCTCTCTTCTCCTGGGGCATACAAGCCGCCAGCAGGTTGTACAGGTCCTTTCTAGTGGATCATATGACCCGCCGGCGGGTGGTTTGTATCGCTTTGCATTATGTAATCTATTGACCTCTTCCTTTCATCTTATGAATTTTATCATGGCCTCCTAATGAGGTCAATTTTAAATCAAATTGACTGTGTTTCTTGACTCATATTTTATTACAATGTATTCTATATAAGCATGTCTACGTATAAGGGTGAAATGGAAATGACTTCTTCCTCATTTCTACGTATAGGGCATATTATGGGAGTCTTCATAGGTAGTATGTCCATGGACATATCAAAAAGCTTCAGAATCGGTTTTCATATGAGCAAGCTATGTGCAGACACTATTTCAGAATGATTCCTTTCGAAATACATGGATGAAAGAAAAGAAAGCAATTTGAAAATTTTCTATGGAATCCGTACCTTGTACTTGATTAGCCTGAAAATTTAATGGATCATTGCCTACTATGTTTTTCTAGAGCTCTTGAAATTATATGAATTATGGGTACCCATTCATGATTTATGGCATATTTTGTTGAAATGGTAAAGAAAGGAGTAAGCAGGCATGCGACTGCCATTGCGAGGCACGAATCCAAATTGCATGAGGATCCCTGAAAATGCATGCAGATGCCTGAACTTTTTATGGTCGAGTACACATTTTTGACAACATTCTATTAATTTTTCACAAGGATCCGTCCAGAGGAACTGATTCATTAGGCAAAAATCAAGTGCAGATTTGTACCTCACCATTGGCAGTCACATGCCTGTCCACTCAGAAAATTTGACCAATTCGATTAAATCTGTCATAACTCAAGAGTAGATGGGCAAGGTTGCATATACTTCAACAGCTCTTGAAGAATCTCATCAACAAGGTATCCTTACATTTTCATGTCAGTTCGCTGAAGAATTTATATGCAAAAAAAAAAGTTCAAGTTACTTAATTTTTTCCAGTCAACCCTCTAGTTCAACCTGACTTGCAACACACATTTCCTTTTGTTTGTAAAGAGCTTAAAACAGACTGTAACCCATTCTTGGCAAATTTGTCCAATGCGTTAGTCGCAATTTGATTGGCAAGTGCCTGTGTTGTTGAAGCAGCAGCCATACATCGAAGGCACCTCATTTTTGGAATCATCCTGAAGTCGCAAGGTTCGAGGTCCAAGGAATACGAAGAATGTGGGAACAATGGCACTCCAAGATTAGTTAGAAATTCAAAGGTATGACATAGGTACTGTTTGATTGCCAGCAGTCATTGCGGACAAGCTCAAAGTTTCCTCATCACGGCTTGTCAATTGCCGCCCCACACATTCATCATCTCCAGTGGATCCCCACCTTTCGCAGAATCGCTTGTGACATGCACACCAGAATTAGGAGGATTACTTTGGCCTCAGGGGAACGACCTCCAAAAAATGGCTTGGCAGCAAAAGTGTTAAAAATGTATTTCAGAGGAGATCTCTGTACATGTGTGACCTGTGCCATTCTGGACTGTTAGTTATGCAGGCATGTGTTGTGCCAGTTGGTTCTTTTTCACTATCAATGCTCCTTAGTTAGACATGGTTTTCTACTTAGTGGTATAAGTTATTGTCTCCATTGAATTCCATAGGAGCAAGAACTGGTCAAGGTGACTGGTATGCATTTTGAATTGCGACCCCCACGTCTGGCTTGTATCAAGTTGAGCTTAGTGAATCCATCAACTGGGAGATGCAGTGAGACCAATTTCACCATCAAGTACCATGACATGAATGGAGTACTGGATTTTCTAGTTCTCAAACAAATCTACGACAGGAGCATGGGAGTAACTTGGAGACCAGGTTAGCCATCTGGCATGGCACTTATATGGTTGGCATTATATTAACATGTTCCATGTAGATCAACCCACCAGTAGGTCACTCCTTATTTAATTCATCATTGTTGGTTTTACTACTGCACAGAACATGTTAACTAGATATACAGGGTGTCCTAAAAGTCGCTTTACCGAGACAGTGAAGTGTTTAACTGTGATTATTTTCACTTGTGTTCAAATTTTTATTTGCAGATGTGAAATGTGCATTGAACATGGTGGACAACAATTTGAACAATTTCTGAAGCTCCTCATTGTGACTTTCTGCTGGTGGTAAATAAAGTAGTTTTTCCCTGGAACGTGAGTATAATCTCAGTAAAGTGACTTTTAGGACACCCTGTATGATGGTGCAATAGATATGTAACTAGATATGTAATTGTTGACAATATTATTTTATTATTTTAACTAATATTTTCATATCAGGTGTCATCAGCAATGTGTGGCATGTCAATATTCAGATTTTGATGTTGAAACTGACCTGTAAGTATTAAATTGTAAATTTCAAAATAGTTTGCTTTGTTGAAACTCTTTTGCTGGTATGGTATTGTTAAGCTTCTCTGACAGGCTTATGTCAGGGTTTGAGACATTTTATTGATATCAGCACTTTAGTAGCAGTATCATCATATTTGGTTTCAGGGTTGGCCATTTTGGAGCCCTGGTATTGAATATTGGCCAAACTTCAATATCTGTGCATCTTTAATTGCAAATATCCTATCACATAGCCTTGGCTAGTCAGAATTAATGCTTTGTTTCTTTGAAAGGTTAAGTTTATAAACAGAAAAATAATATAGCAATTATCCAGACCCATCTTTTGAAGCAGATTTTGTCAAACAATTAAGGAGTCCCTGAGACAAAGAAACAACAAAAAATAATCAGAATATTGTGGATGCCATGCATATTTTCCTTACTGGAAGAGATCCTGTTCCAGGTAGAATTCAGTTTCAGGAGTTGTAAAATCACTCACATTGTCTCTGATTGCTAATAAGTGGCAGAGTATCTTCTCCATTCAGGGGATCGGTTCAGAGTTCGTGTTGAAGAAGACTATTCCTATGGAACCTACACTGCTCATACTCCATATAGTGAAGAATATCCTGATTCTCCCTTCCTTTGCTGTGAGGTCACATGGGACACTGGTGACTCAGACCGTGTCTCCCCATGGGACATGGAACCAATATCAGGTGGGACACCTTACTTAACACTTTCGCTGCCATACGACCGGCCGGCGGGTCGTAAGGGCTCTCCTCCTAGGCCATACGACCCACCGGCGGGTCGTATGTTCTCTCTTCTCCTGGGTCATACAACCCGCCGGCGGGTCGTACATGTCCTTTCTATAGATCATACGACCTGCCGATGGGTGGTTTGCATTGCTTTGCGGGATACGATCTATGGACCTCTTCCTTTCATCTTACGAATTTTATCGTCGCCTTCTGATGAGGTCAATTTTAAATCAAATTGGCGGTGTTTCATTTCTCATTTCTTTTTTACAATGTTTTCAATATAAGCATATCTCCGTATAAGGGTAACGTGGAAATTACTTCTTCCTCATTTCTGAAAATGCATGCAGATGCATGAACTTTTTATGGATGAGTACACAGTTTTGACAAAGTTCTATTAATTTTTTCGCGAGGATCATCCCAGAGGAACTGATTCATTAGGCAAAAATTAAATGCAGATTCGTACCTCCCCATTGGCAGTCACATGCCTGTTCACTCAGAAAATTTGACCAATTCGATTAAATCTGTCATAACTCAAGAGTAGATGGGCAAGGTTGCACATATGTACTTCAACAGCTCTTGAAGAATCTCGTCAACAAGGTATCCTTACATTTTCACGTCAATTCGCTGAAGAATTTATCTGTATAAAAAATTGTTCAAGTTGCTTAATTTTTTCCAGTCAACCCTCTAGTTCAACCTGACTTGCAACACACATTTCCTTTTGTTTGTAAAGAGCTCAGAACAGACTGTAACCCATTCTTGGCAAATTTGTCCAGCGCGTTGGTCGCAAGTTGATTGGCAAGCGCCTATGTTGTCGAAGTGGCAGCCATTCATTGAAGGCACCTCATTTTTGGAATCATCCTGAAGTCGTAAGGTTCAAGGTCCAAGGAATACAAAGAATGTGGGAGCAATGGCACTCCAAGATTGGTTGGAAATTCAACGGTACAACATAGGTACTGTTTGATTGCCAACAGTCATTACGGACAAGCTCAGTTTCGTCATTACAGCTTGTCGATTGCTGCCCCATGCGTTCATCATCTCCAGTGGATTTCACCTTTCACGGAATCGCTTGTGTCAAGCACACCAGAATTAGGGGGATTACTTTGGCCTCGGGGGAATGGCCTCCAAATAATGGCTTTGCAGCGAAAGTGTTAAATTCTTTCCAACTAGGATAAAGACAGAAAGTGGTGGTGCATATATGAGGAAGTGAATGCACTGCTTCCCCAACAAAAAAAATTGAAATTTTTTATTATTTTCATTTTTTCAACATATGACATGGAACAGCATAGCACCAGAAATACTTGAAATCTTTCAGTGGCAAAATCTTTTAAAATCAGCAGCCTATTTTCTTTCAAATACCTAGAGAAATCAAGAACTTGTTTGGATGATATCAACTCCTGGCTTTAAGAATGGCCTTTATGCTCAGTTGCACCCTAAGCATTCTTGAATTTCATTTTCCAGATGCATCAGAGGTGGCACCATTGTATATCCCAAGTCCTTCAGACTGGCCACATTCAAGTCAAGAGGTGGAATGTGATCGTATTTCACTCTGCATCCAACAGGTATTTGAGCAAAGATCAGACTCTTTTTTGAATAATTGCTTCTATTTCTTTGACGATTCATGGGTGTCATGATAACCTGCATAATTCTTCCTACTCATTTTTTTTTGTTTGTAGTACAACATAGCCTCTTTTGTTTCAAGGGTCTGATGTCTCATCAAATGGAGCGCATGGATGTTCTGTAGTGATGATAGTTATGCAAACATCAGCTCCCTTTGTTGCAATTGCCCAGAAAAAAACCTAAATGGGAGAAGAGCAGTGACAATTTATTTGGGGGATTATTATGTCCATGCCAGCAGGCCATCATAATTTTATTGCTGAGTTATGCTACCATGTTTCCCTGAAACATCAGATTTGTGTTGTCATTCCAGGTGATGGAGCTTGCAATTGCTGAACATTTTGTGGCCCCAGTTGACCTGAATACTTATCCAGACTATGCCCTTGTTGTTGAGTACCCCATTGACCTCTCCACCATCAAGGCAAGAGCAACCCTTGTTTGACCCTTCTCATATAAATGCAAATCCGTGTATGAATCATCCTGTAAATTGGTCCTTGGGATGGACTTGGGGAAGAAAAATACTGGTAGCATTGTAGTTGATTAAATAAAGAAGTAGATTTGGTGATGGGTCAAATATGGCAAAAGGTCCTGACAAAGACTGTCTTCTGTGTATCATTGCATCATTGCATCTATTGCATTGATATCTATATCATTGCATTGTATCTGTGCATCATTGTGGTTACAGAGGAGTGCAATTGTTCTTTATTGCCATGTATCTGTTTTACATGATATATGCATACCCTGATATTATCTGGTAATTCATTGCATTGCAGGGTTATAGTGTTAAAAAAAAAACTGGGCCAATTTGTTTTTGAAAATAGCCCAATAATATTTTATTGGATTGGCCCAAGTTTTAGAACACCAAATGTGGATAGATATTGGAAGGTTTTTGCCAAATTTGAAAGATTCAGTCATGGCTTATGCTCAACATGGCTCCTGCATTCTCATGCAAGCGTGCAGCTGCCACTGCTGTTCTAGAGTTGATGATGCACTATTTCAAGCAACTGCATTCTTGCAGTCGTCTTCAGGCATTTTGGTCTGTGATCAATCATTGTGATTCAGTGGACTATCGAAAGAGATATACCAATATCTTGAAATATCACCCTTTGCATTAGGTGGTTCCATGCATTATCCTCTTAGCTTTACCCTTCGTGGGCCATTTTTGTCTGCAAAAGTTGCCGCATCTTTTTGTGCTTATTCATATCTAATAAATTTCACAGAAACAAGAAACATTCCATATTTTTACTGGCCAAATGTCATGTGCAAGTCAGGTGGGTAGTATGATTCCTTACCAGTATCAGTGAGAAGCAGGCCTGCCAACACACTAATAAGAATTTATATAGTTCCCATGCCCTGCAGAAGGGTTAAAACAAGTGCTCCCACCTCTTCAACTGCTCACTTTCACCAGCTGATGTAGATGCATCCACAGGGGTATCTGGTGCATGTTTTGTCCTTCAAGTTTGAACTGGTGTAGCATCTGACACAATTGCTTGATTCCTTCAAATTCAGCCCAAACCTCCTTTTATTAATTTTATGTGCAGGGTTTAAAAAATTGGACCTCTCTAATAAAATTTACTATTTATTATTAAAAAATTATTTGGCACTTTTTTAACACTGTAGTTCTGCTGAAAAGACATGATTTAGAGTTGAATTTTTCCATATGAATTCAGTCATGGAATGAATGATATGGTTTGTCAGTCAGGACACACCACCCCCCTGGGGTATTCTATAAGATTAGAACTTTGCTATGTGCTTCTGAAAAATTATTTTTATTTACATGGTACCATTGTGCTGTATTACAGTCTCGACTGGACAATCGATTTTACCGACGGCTGGCAGCAGTTCAGTTTGATGTGAGGTACGTCGCTGCAGATGCAGAGAGGTTCAATCAGCCGGGTTCTCTGATAGTCCATCATGCACAGGTCATCACAGAGATTTGTCTTCGAATGATCAGGTTGGTCTCTCCTTGCTCATGACACTCCAGATGGATGTCATCATAACTGTACTAAGGGAGGGTCTGGGATTATCTTTTGCTGGTGTAAGGAGGCTATCACAGAGGAGTGCTTGACAAAATTGAAAATAGAAATTTGCAAACTCACTCTTCATGTCTCCAAAATATCATCCTTTGGTTCAAAGGCTTTTGAAAGAGGATAGGCTTTTTTTTATTTATTAACCTTTTCACTTACCCCCACTCCATGTCCAATGGGGCATGGGACTGGAAAGAGTCTTCAATTATTTTACTCAAATTTCACTTAGAAATTAATTTGTGGAGCATTTATCTTGAAGCAGGGGAACTTCCCAGACATTGCCACTCAATGGTAACTATGATAACTATTTATTTTCATTGGAAAAAAATACTGTAATTAGAGGTTGATTTTCATTTTGGATGGGATTCTCACTTTTTTGCAAAAAGAATTCTAAAAAAAAAACAGGCAGAAAATAGATTATGACTGAAATGGTCAAAGGTTATTTCTCATGCAACTATCGCAGTATGTGTGACTAACATTGGTATTGTCTTATAATATCATGATAATCTGGCAGGAGGAGGTAACATACTCCTTAACACTTTCAGTGCTGTTAACACCATATGAGGTGTTCAGCTCAGTGAACCTCCACTACTGTGCTTTGTAAAGAGAGGTTGGCTGGGCATTGAAATACTCAGCAGTAAATGTGATAATGTGGTACTCTAGTGGGAGGGAGGTAAGGATCTCCTTAAAATGCATGTATTGCTTGGATCATTGCAACAAAAAACAACCAAGAAAAAATCTACTTCAGGAATGAACCTCCTCTATTATAGAAAGTAGGGCTGTCAATTAGATTAGATTGATCAACTGATTAATTTATAAAAGTATTAATCATGATATTAAAAATTATTCAAAATTAATCTAATTTTAATCTACCCCCAATCTTCCCCTGAATGCCTCTTTTCCCCTTATAACTTGACTGTATAGTTCATAGTTTTGCAAAACAGCTGGAAAGGATATAATGCAAATGAAATGTAATGATGGCTTATAGAAGGTAGTTGTCGTTTTTGCTCTGCTCTCTCCTCAAAAATGTCTTACTACTTGTGGGAAAAGGGAACACCCACAAACAAAGCTATTGGTTTCAGACTATTCCAAAAAAAAAGCTTCCTGACCCATTCCCATCCACAAGTGTACTGGCATGCATCTTGTATAACCTTGCAGGCCTCGTGTCAGGCAAAGGTAGCAGTGGGCTAGAGTGATCAAAAGTCACTGAATGTAAGTGGGGGAAAGAAAGGTGTAATAGGGAATTTTGACAGGGAGTTGGGATAGAAGAGGAGGAAAAGAAGATAATGTAAAGACTGGGGAGTGAGAGGCGTATGTGTAGTGCAACCAGTGAAGGTCTGTGGGAGTGCCTTGGAAGTAACCAGGAGAGGGGGAGAGCTGGGAGCATGTGAGAGAAGCCCGTGGAAATGAAAATGTGAAACCCTCTTCTATTCCTTGCCTTTTCTGCTCTTCCATCCTGTGTTGCTCGTGCATCAATAATGAATCTTTAAATCTCTGCATAATGAAGTGTCACTGTATACCTTCAATCATTTTGGCTACATTTTAGCATAATGGCCATAAAAAAAGTATGAACTTGCATTCTTTCTACGCAATCTCTGTGATGCATTAATGAATTTTGAATCTGAAGACACAAGCAAAATTGATAGGATATAGACATTTATGGGGGAAGCATGGGACAAAGGGGAAAAAGTATTTATTTTATTTTTCAATTTCTTAGCTTAACTGAGATGGACTTTAGTAATTTTTTCTGAAATGAATGTACCAGGAACTAGTCATTTTCTTTTTAAATAAAAATGCAGCTTCAGCTTGACTTCCTTAAATTTCCTTAAAATATTCATTTTTATGGAAATGAATGTATACAGCATTATTAAATTTGTATTTATACATATCTAGGGCACTGAAAATCTTGTCATTCTCCTTGATAAAATAATTTAAACTTGAAACTTCTGTCATTTTAAACAATAGACTTGATGAGCATCACATGATGAATTGCAGCCCATTCTAATAATTTTTGTAAGAATGGCTGAGGGAAGAACTTGAAGCAGTAGTTGGTAATCTTCACTTGCTGGTACCTCCTGGTGGTGAATGTGGGAAGAAGCAAGTTTTGAATCATGATTTTCTATTGCTTTCAAAGAGAACAAATGAAGCTCATCAGGAGATGTCAAGTGGTTTCTTGGATAAGTTCTAAGTCCAATTCGACCATCCATTTGAGATTGTCCATATCTCAACAGTCATTTCCCGATAAATTATTTTTTGGTGAAGCACAATTTGAATTCAATGCACTTGACCAATGGGAGTGGCCAATAGCCTTGGCCATGGGACAAGTGATTTCAAAGCCCCCAATCTTGGTGCCTTTTGACAGCAATAAAAGCAATAACCATTGACTTGGTGTGCTTGCAGATCAAAGAAGATCCTCTTTGGCAAGTACCCTGTAGCATTGTTTGTCACTGACTGCTCAGATTGTGCCTGGTATTGGAAGTCATTTTTCATTGGAGTTATTGAAGGGGCTTGGTACTTGCAAAAGCAGCCTAGGAGTGCATTCTACTAATGAATAGGCTTGAGCCTTTTTGTCTTCATTTTTTGGTCACAATTCTAGAAGCTTATGGAGTGACCCTTTTACATTCACATATGCCCTAATGCTGATCTCTTCAGTTTTTGGCCTTTTGTCATCAGTGCACTAAATAATTAATGAAATGATAAGCTAATCAGCTTCAGAGTGATAGTATTCCCTCAAATGTTAACAGCTTGTCATTGGCAGCCCAGCAACCATGCACATAAGATATCCTGATGACTCTTGAAGGGACTTTTTCAGGAGTCTCTTTCTTGTGGATAGCATTAATAAGAGCAAGTTGTCATGCTCACAGTCATCAACTTGATTGCAGAGATCAGACTTGTCAAGACATTCTACCTCTTTATCGTGAGCTGATGGCCCATGAAAGAGAAGAGAGAGGTGAAGTGACTGGAGCATCAACCAGCCGAGCTGCATCTGCCTTCCCTTCACCACCCATAAGGAATCGTCGCAAGTTGCCAGTACGCATCCTTCTTTTTATCTCAAGGCAATGAGGTTTGAGATATTAAGGATGGGATTCAGTTTAACACCTGTTAATTCCTGTTTCTAACTGCTTGCAATTTGATTGTGTTGATGAAACACTCATACTTGTTTGTCCCTTTACAGAAACATCAGACTTGGGAATCACAATGTGAGCAAATGCTCAATGTCCTCCTTGCTTCTGAGGATTCAGAGCCATTTCAAACACCAGTCGACCTTGAGGATTATCCTGACTATGAAGAGGTCATCCAGAACCCTATGGATTTGTCCACAGTCAAGGGAAAAGTTCAATCTGGATCATATGCCTCCCCAGAGGAATTTTCCCATGACATCAATCTCATCTTCCGAAATTCGAAGGATTATAACACCAACAAAAGATCAAGGGTTGGTTCAACCATATTCTAGTTTTAATCACCGTGAAGTAAGGAAAATGATATCACAAAGTGATTTCAAAATTCCTACTAGTATCTCTATTAATTATCTCACTTGGCTGCCAGCTGGACTACCCCCTGTAAAAAAAGATAAGATAAACAGTTTTACAATCAAGCATTTCACACATATTTTATCCTTAAATTGGACAGTCAAGCATTTTTCTGTAAGATGCAAGAAAGTAACATCAACTTTATAAAATAATAATGGAATTTGGAATCTTAACTTTTTTTTCTTCAAACTTTCAGAAAACCTCCTTAATGAGTTAGGCAATAGAAATATGTAAAAATGTAATGATTTACAGCCTTGGCATCAATACTACACTGGCAACCATGAGGGAATTAATGATGCCTCAAATTTTTTTTAATGATAAAAATAAAATATCAAGAATAACTTGCACAGGTTGTGGGGGCTGTGCAACATTGTTGCGATTATTCTCACCTTCACAATAGTATTAGGGCTGTACTGATGGCCACATTTTGCCAGTGGGGTGATGGCCGATTTTGATCTTATGACTTACCAGCTAGTGCCAATGCCAATTATGGTCTGTAGAATGAGAAAACATGTTCATTGTCAGTGGTTTGCTTGCTGCCCTTAAAGAACATTTGATGACATATCTCTCGCAAAAGTATAACATAAAGGAGGTGCAATGATATCCTTTTCACACTATTTTCCTCCTCTGGTTCCTAAACTCTGGCTGAAATAGAATCTGATTGATATTTTTGTCCAGGAGAGGCCAGCAAGAGTGGTTTTCATTGAGACATGAAGACCAGTGCCTAGCTGTGTTCACATGTGCACATTATTTGTGTTTTTTTGCCTCTACTTTGGGCTCCTGCATCAGCAGCTTGCAACACCGAGAGTAGATATTGGTGGTTGCTGATACATCTGTACAGCCCTAAATAGAATGACAAGAAATTGAAAAAGATTTATTTCATTTAAAGACAGCATAAGTGTTGTAGTGTGAGATTTCTCTCTGCAATGTACTTCATATTTCTTAGTTATTAATCGACATTGGCAGCAATGCTGGCTGATAGATGTTCTCTTGGCACTTTTTTTGGTCTGCTAAGCTACTCATTCAGTCCTATCTGAGGCAACAATCCAGTGATGTTCTTCCAGGAACTGGGTGAAAACATTTCTTATAATATGCTGATCTGGAGGTTTCTTATTTACTTTTATACCACAATACCCTGACAAAAACTTATTTTGCCAATGGAACTTCAAGCTTTCTTTGATTACCTCTTCAACTGTTGTCCTTTGACCCAGGATAAAGATTGATGATTTAAAGATTTTTTGAGCACATTTGTCATTGGTAGTAGTCATAAAGCATATAGAAAATGGCATCTCATTCCCGCATAGGAAAGCAGTAGAGCCCATATATCCTAGTTACTGTATCCATAAGGGAGTGGATTACACTGGGTGACTCAAAAAAGGACACACTTTTCAATGTGTATTTTAGGTGTGATGTTCTCAAGGATATTTCTTCCAGTTATGTGTAATGGATAAAAGAAAGATTCAGCAAAAAAATGCTTTTTACAGACTTGAAATATCTTGAATGTTGACTTGAAAAAAATTCTATTGAATTTCTGTTCTGGAAAATCAGCATTGCACTCACCTATGGATGATAGGATGTGTCAGGAGCCTATGGCTCATCATCCTTGCAACATCTGCTGAGGTCAGTGTTTCCCTTACTCTTCTCATGAGTGTTGGGCCATCGAGAGGATGTTGGGTCAAGTCAGTGAGCACAATGCTGATTTTTCTTAATCAAAATTCAATCATTCTTTTCTAAGTCACCATTCAAGATATTTCAAGTCTGTAAAAAGTATTTTATAACTGAATCTTTTTTTTTTTATGTAACCAGAAAAAAATCCTTGAAAGCATCATACACATTGAAAAGTTTGCCTTTTTTGGGCCACCCTGTATTGAATTATAACCAAGCCATGAGATTGCTCTTTAGAAAAGGTATTTCTCTCTTGAATGGGATCTGAGTATACCTTTAGACTCTGCATCATTCGCCTTCCTTTTCTAATCAATTTTATCCATATTTCCATTTTTAGATCTACTCCATGACATTGAGGCTACAAGGACTATTTGAAAGTCGGATGGCTCCAATCATTAAGGACTATCAGGCATTGATCTCAAAGAAGCAACTATCCACAAAGAAGCTTGTCAAGAAAGAGCTACATCTCACCAATGGTCATGGTTAGTGTGTTCAACTACCAGTACTAAGGATTAAATATTAACCCTTAGAATCCCAAGGTATATAAGAATATATTGACCCTTCATATTGGGATGCATTTCTGCTTGGGATGAAAGGGTTAAGGAGTCAGGCAGAATAAGATGACTGGAAGAATGGAAGATGGTAGTGTCAGTAGAATTGAGTAGAGCAAGCCATGAGAGAACTTGATGGCAGGGCCGTTTCAGGTCACTTCTTTGAAAGACTTCTTCAACTGGATGTTTCAACAAATGCCTTTCAAATAAGCACCAGTCAAAGAAGTGAAACTGAAACCAGCAGGGCAGTCCAAATGAAGTTCATAGGAAGTTACTGGATTTGGGTATCTGAAGGAAGGTGATTTCTTTGTAAATGTGACTCTTATTGTCATAAGAATGTTGTAAGAATGGGTAGAATTCTTTGTAAGGTAGAAATGAAAGAGTATAGCCTCGATAAGAGGATCAGGGATAAGGGAGAAGAGGCAGAATTGGGATAATGCACCTGATTTTGTTCATCACTACTTTTCTGGACACACAGCCTTATTTTACTTCTTCTGTCAGTCAAGGTACCTCAGCCTCACTGAGGAAGTAGAGGATTGCACTTGGAAACAACACTATCATATATATACCAGGTGGTGCAAAAAAAAGTGTCATGTTTGACACCTTATAAAATCCGTTGTGGATGATCTAGGTTCATGATATTTACATATTATGTTGGAAATGCCACAATATTTGTTTTTTGAAAGTTCCATGTACCTAAGTTGTCTGAATAAATGTTGACAGTCAATCACTCAAAGTGGAGTCAGAAAATGGACCTTTCTGCACACAAGGTGGATGGAGTTTCAGGACTGCTCAAATGATTTCTCTCTCTCCCTTGAGGTTACAAATACTGCTTTTTATGCCAGTTCTCATCATAGTATTCTGCGTGATATCAATTCTGATGCTACAATGTACGACAGTAGCACTATTCTACAATGTGTTGAATACTACGATGAGAACTGGCATAAAAAGCGGTATTTATGATGTCAAGGTAGAGAAATAATTCAAGTGGCCCTGAAACTCCATCCTCCTCGTGCGCAGAAAGGTCCATTTTATGACACTGAGAATCTGCCCTTGTGACCATTTTTTCCTTTTTTCATGAAGAATAAAACTGCACGTCTAATGTGCAAAAAAAAAACCTTAATATTTTTGCATGGGAATTGGAAAACTTGGACTCGGTTCTTTTGCTCTATACTAGTCCATACAATCAAGTCATATAGAAGATATTCCAAATTTTCTTTTGCTTCAATTCATGCATCTGAAAAATGAGGGATACCAGATAGGAGAGCATCTTGTTCAAGTTTATCCCGACACTTCTCTATATCCAATTCTGTCAGTGTTGGAATATTCTATTCACATTACCTCAACTTGCCCTTTCACCTAAGGCCTTGTCCATGCAAGAAAGTTTTCTTGGACAGATGATGAAAGACTGTTGCAAAAGAAAGATTTTTTAAAGAAAGCTTTTGAACAAATCTCCCAGAGCATTGAAAATCTTCCAAGGGTGAGTGAGAGTGCAGACAGATTGAAAGCGACAGGGAAATTTTTTCTGTTTTTTGTTTTCTTTTGCTAGGAAGTCTGGATTAAGGGGAGAGAATGGCCCAGGAGATAATAAAACTTGCCTGAATAAATGAAAAATATGGAATTATGACATCTGGATTAAATGGAGAATTTTCATTATTTATTCTATGGGACATCTGCCGGGAATATTCCAGATGTTCATATTGCCAGAAGATCCAGATTATTGGCATTCGGATTAACAAGAGTCTACTGTATGAGGCAATAGGCAAGGAATAGACTATTAGTGCAGTGCCAAGAGGGTTCATGATCATAAATGCATTCCCTCACAATTCTCCCTGCCACATTACACCAATGCATTGGTTCTGATCTTGACTTTCTGATATTATTTTTTGCAACATTGACTCAAACAATGCCTATTAATTGATTTGGCTTAGCCTTCATAACATTCTTAATACTTGATCCTGTGCAGCTGGAAGCAGTGGAGAAGAGTTGGAAAATCGAAGCCCAATTCGTACACGTCTGCGAGAGAGAGTACAAAACCCTAGAGTTTCAAACAGCCAGATTCATGGAGGGAGAGAGGGAGGAAGGATGCTGCGTCCTCGCCGTCCACTTGAGGACAACACCCGATTTATGGGATTCATCATCACTGACACTCGACTTCGTCAAAGGAATGAAAACACAAGAATACGCAAGCCTTCAGATCATGCTGATGTTCATTCCACTGATTACTCCTCATCCCACTCTTCATCAGATGAAGAGGATGTAGAGGATGAGGAATTGGCTGAAGAGACAGGTGAAGAAGATGAGGAAGATGAAACAAGAGAAAATGAAGGTCATGATGAAGACAATGAAGAAGATGAAGAGGAGGGGGGGGATGATGATGATAACGATAATGAAAACAATAGAGAAGGGAAGAGATCTGCAAGGCCTAAACAGCTACAGAATGGTGCATCTCATGTCCAAGGTCAGTTCCATTCCAGGTGATTCCCACTCTAAGAGAAATAAGTTGTATTAAAAATTGTTGCTTCTGGCAGATGTGAGATACAGGGAAGTGTTTGTGAACACAACCCCAGATCCTTTGTTTCACTTTCAGGAGTGCTTATGCAAACACACATGCACATTTTTAGAATTGCTATATACAAGACCTGTACAAAGTGTAATTTTTATATGGTGTGACATTTTCAGCAGAATTGGATCCTCTGTTGTTTATGTAAAACAATCTGCTGTATCAGTGTAAAAAAAAAATTGATTCAGAACAGCCTTGTGTGAAAAGCCTGGTGTCATTAACATGATTTTCTCAGATGCAAATCCTGCTGTATCTGATGGTTGCAGATGGCAGTGAAGAAATTAGAGATAGTGGCTTTGGCTTCTGACTCTGGTTCTTTGACCTTAATGGAAGTGCCTTATTAACATTTTTGCTGCCATGAGGGTTTTACATGTTTTCCCTCCAGGGGATTAAGTTATATTAGTCCAATATAGTGGAAGGTGCAATGACCCACCTGTGGGATGAACATGTTAACCCTTCAAGCCATTTTCGCATACACTGTACATGCACCACTTAGGTCAAGTCAAAACTCAGCACTTGAAGGTTTAAGGATCTCTTGTGTACAAGATACAGTACAGTGATGGACATATCTTTCTCTTAATCACATTTGAGATAGTTTGTTCCCAGAAATGAAAGAATTTCTGAGCAATGGGTGAGTACCTACCCCAGCTGGGATTTAGAATTAGAATCTGTATCCTGGGATCGGTTCAGGGTTCCAAGATTCAATTTGTTAAGAACTCCTAAAAAGATCCCCCAAAATATCCAGATGAAGTCTTTCTTGTGTTCAAAATGGATAATAATAATTTGGGTTTGGCCTTGGGATTCAGTTCAGGAAATTTGATGTAGAGCTGTGCTGGCAGCTATTAGCTGAATATCAAGGACATATAAACACATCGTGCCCCAACTTTCACTGTGTGCTTGCGCCAAGTGCTAGCATGTCACTATTTCATTATTTTCTTATGGAATTGCATTTGCATTGTAATTTGCAACAAGCTAAGTCAAAATTTCCATGCAACTGACTGTTGCATGTTCAAATTTCCCATATTGCACAGCATTTAATGTGCTAATTTCCCAGCAGCAGTGAATGGGTTACATTGTCATGGGTGGGTAGAATTTGCATCCAGTTTTTGTATTTACTAACTTTGAAGAAAGTGGGTCATAAAGTATGTGTGTATACAAGTGAAGCATATATATCTCTGTCATATTGATTCCTAAAAGTCCAAGCTGATATCATAACCAACCACATGACTTAGTGGATTTTGTTCCTAGAGTGTTGGGGCAGTGTTGCAGCAGATTTTATGAGAAAGGACACATTTCTTTATGTAATATCTCCAAAATGGCCAGTTTTAAGGCAGCAGGTTATGACTTGTTGGTGCAGTATCAATATATATACAGGGTGATTGAAAAGTCACTGTGCAGTAGAATTCATGGCACAATGTAGGAGGCCTCATTGTAGACAGGAAGCACAGACAATAAATTATGTACATCAGGGATGGTGCTAATATTTTTTTATGTATTGAGCAGGAATTTATGTCCTTGATGGTGCAATATGAATTATATTTAGTATCATGCTAAATAAATGCCACAATATAAATTATTTCTACTGCACAGTAACATTTCAATCACGCTGTATAATGGTCCATTGATAAATCTACAATTTCAGTTCAAATTATAGAAGCATGAAATATCTAGTAGGTAAGCAGGCTGGATCACTATTGCCAGGATCAATTTCAAGTAACCTGTGCACAATAGCTTTTACTGAGTGTGACATGCATTTTGGAAGGAAAATAAATTTTGAAGTCTTGCTGTTACAATCTGGAAATTTTTGGATTAAACCAGACTTACTGTTAGAAACTCATTTGGTGCATCATGAGTTCAAACCATTTAAGGAAGAAAAGGTACCATTTATCATCCTCAGGTGGATTTTTTAACGTCACTTCACCTCCAGGAGTGTATTATATCTCTGTCTAAAGTCTTGTTTCTACTAGATATAGAAAGCTCATGTTTTATTCACCCTTCATACATTTTGTTCTGCATGGTTCTACCAGTGTGGTCTCTGAAGAACACCATAAAGATGTTCGCTGCAAAGCATATCCTCACTCTTGAGATTCATGAACAATATTGTTTACTATATGAATAATTAATATTTAGTAGTGTTTATGTATTCTGTTTTTTTCTGGGGCAATCCTATTACAGGCACATCTAGGTGGACTATAATTCTGAAATATATTATTTCAGGATTGGAGAAGAGACGAGAGATGCGTAGCAGAGAGAGACCTTCAAGGGTGAGGTGTGACCCAGAAGAGGAAAGTGATCCTGAAGTGACAAGAAAAAATCTTCGCAAACGAAACCGATTGCAACAGGAGAGTGAAGATGAAAGTGACAGTGATGCTGAAATGTCTACCAGAAGAAAGCGACATAGAGTGACTCAGCAAGCCAAAAGGAAGAATGTTTCTAATGTGCAAATGGGAACTGGACGAGCAACACGCAATCGAGGTCGCAATACTGTGCGATACCATGAAGACAGTGACTTGGAGGATGGTTCACTCTCTGATGTCGATTTGGGACATTCAGAACGGCGTGCCTTGCGCCCAAGACGTCATCCATGATTATGCAGTAGTGTTTCCAAATGTAATAGCTCAGGGATTGAGAACTTCTCAGTGATAGCATGAAGGAAGATGAGAAACACAGAACATCAGAAGCAACCGTGAACAACCAAAAAAGATCTCATTTATTTCTTCTTTTCCCTCTTTGTTATGAGTAACTGACAGGGAAAGGTGCCTAAATGCTTGGGTCATTGATTCTATTCTGGATTGGCTGTGTCTTTCCATTGATCTCAGGTCCATTGCTCTCTTGAGCTTCCTCACCAAATCTCAACTTTGTTGGCATCCATCGTAATGAAATGGTCATGAATGTGATTTGTTATCTTTCTATAATATTTCAAGAGAATTATGTGGTGGTACAAGAATCTACTGAGTGGGAGAAACAGCTACTCAATCTGTGCAAAACCTGGAATTGAAGACCTACCAATCAAACTGCACATGATGCACTAAGATCTATTACACGTTTCTGAGAGAGATTTATTCTTTACCAATTTTTACTAATTGGTGAAAATTTCAACTTAAAAAAATTTTGATGTCCCAGAGTAAATGTCTGTATCTCCTTGCTGAGATTTTATTTATTATTTTTCTGGATTTCACAGCTTTAACAAAGGTTGACTGTCATTAGACTCACCTAAAGGCTAAAGACGTTTTTCCTGCAGAGCCATTAGACCCACCAGTGGACTAACCGCTGCTTTTACTTCTATACACTCATATACAGGGTGGGCCAAAAAAAAACCGCCCCAAATTTGAAGCTTAATTACTTGGGCCCCATTGGGCCAATATCAATTTTTAAGAAGCAAAATGAGCTTGTTCAATTTTCCTTCAAATGATATATAATTTTTTTTTGTGGGGGGGGGGGGCTTGCTTTTGAGAAATGCCGCTATTACAGTTTTAAAAAAAAATGAAAAAATTTCCTGAAAATGGACTTTTACTCCAAGTTCCTTTTCCACTTCCATGATCGCGTAACTTTCTGAGGAAGTCCCTAACAGTTCATTTCTTCCACTGCCGATCTGGGAATTCAGCAAGAATTCTGCCCAACGAGTAGCCTTTTTCTTCACGTAGCACTTGGGTTATGCACTTATCACTCTCACTTAAGCCTATGCTGATAAATTTTTAATCCTGAAAAGTTTAAAGCAACAATTTGAGGGAGTTAAAATTCATTCTCAAAGGTTGAGCAAAGTCAGCAAATGAAATGACACGACAGCGGCAACATCAATAAGATTCAGTTAGCTCAAAATCTCTAAATTAATAGAACCCATTACCGCCCAGGAATTTATCATGTTACTCGCCTCATGATCGCATGATCTTTCATCAACCAATCCGTATCATACAGGGGCGCGTGGGAGAAGGGGGTGTGCGGGAGAAACAGGCGACAGCAGCAGCGTGGCATTTGAAGGAACTCAGGAAAGCTGTTTTCAGGAATTTTTTTTTCACTTTTTTTTTTTAAACTGTGATAGCGGCCATTTCTCTGAAGCAAACCCAAAAAATTATATATCATTCGGAAGAAAATTGAACAAGCTTCATTTTGCTTTTTTTAAAATTGATATTGGCCCAACGGTGCCCAAGTTATTAAGCTTCAAATTTGGGGCGGTTTTTTTTTTGGCCCACTCTGGTTTGGCAGGTCGGTGTAGACTCGTGCTGTGCCCTCAGAAGGGTATATATCAATACTATAAATAGGAGAAGAGGCTATGTTCACAAGTGTTACACAACGTCTATTATAATCTTAAGAAAGTCAGTCTGTTATCCAAGTTTTCGCTTAACATGGCATTCATGATACACATGAGGAACTCTTGCAAACATAAAAAATATGCTTTGCATTTCGAGATCCCTTTGATTCAAAAAGTAAGCCACAAAATGGGCATTTTAGCTGACAATGGTAATTGCCAAAATCTCAATAAATGAACGAGGGAATATTACAGTATTTTGAACTCTAAAAGCTACCTATTTCTGAGAAACCATTGCAGATAATGGGTAATCCCTTGTGATGTTTTGAGAATATGTACGAAAATATAGTCAATATCTTATCAGGTAATGTACCTCGTGCGGTAAGTGTACGCCATAAGCGGATGGCGACGTCGACTAGACAACTCAGCACGAGAGTCCAAACACGCTTCAAAGTTTAGGACACCGGTGGGTCTAATGACCTATGAAGTGTGCAGCACCACAAGAAGGACGTAAGTCCGGCGGTGTCCCAGCGAAACTGACGCCATCAGTGCGTTACGGCAGGTAAAATAATAGGTATCACAATTAGGCCAATTCCTTACAATGTATTATAGGGTTAGCCCCAAAAAAGTAAGTTAAGCTTTTGAATTTGTTTGATTCGTTCGGGTGCCCGCTCCAGAAAATCCCATAACATTTGCACGGAAAGCCTTAAATTTCATGCGCATGCATTAAATATTCAGACGGATAAAACAAACATATGGAAACGTCCCGTTAAGTTTTCATGGTAAATCATCCACTGGAACTGATTTTTTAAGCAAGAATCAAATGTGAATTCGCCTCGCAATGGCATTCGTATGCCTGTTAACTCAGAACTTTGATAATTATGAAGAAATAGTCAAACTCATGTATATGTAATCTTAAGTGCATGAAATGTTAGGAGCTCTTGAACAAATTAGTCGACATTCCATTAAATAATCGTAATCGTTGAGAAATATGAATTTAAACATTTTGAGTAGCTTAATTTTTTCGGCCAATCCTGTAATTTTGGTCTTGGAGGGTTTTGAATGTGATAAAAGGGCGTGGCAGTCAACGTGTTAAGCGAAATGAAAACTATAGTGAAGGTGACAAATTTTTTGCACTTGCTCCCTCTAGCCCAGTGGTTCCCAATATTTTTTTATTTGCGGTACACATAAGGACATTTGAACTTTCCAAGGCACACCTAGCCATTTACTTACTTTCAATGGGAAACTTTTGCTTGCTTGTGCTTGCTTCGCTGAACACAGCAGTTTGATACGAGCCGTGATAGTGCAACTCGTTCGTTTTCCATTGAGAGATGGCGTTCCCTCTTGTTTTTAAGTTTTTAAAGTTTTACTTTTTTAGTTTTTTTTGTAAACTCTCAAATCTCACGGCACACCTAAGCCTTACTGGTGGCACACCAGTGTGCCGCGGCACACAGTTTGGGAAACACTGCTCTAGCCCCTTTGATGCTACGCTGTTAGACTTGATGGTGTCGTTTTTCTTAGATTCCTTGTTTGGAGGATTCAATGAATACATGGAGCATTGAGAAGCTATATTTGAATTTGGCAAATATTCCTTTCTTGAATTTTGCAACGTTTTGGTTTCGGAGTCTGCTGTCCACGCTTCACTTTCTCCTGGCGGCGACATTGTGTTATCAGCAAAATATTTATTGTTAATTATGCAGATTACGTCTTTCGTCCGATCAACACTTGACACTGCTCAAAATTCAGCATCTGCTGGTAAATTTTTCAGTGTTATTTCCTTATGTGTACACTCAGTGGACGATCTGACAAAAGGGCGAAAATCTATTCTCAAAAAGAAGGGAAATAATTCACCCTTTCTCAGACCGAAGATTGTTCCGCTTCAGGAAGCTCTCTACTTGAGAGGCAAACTTTATTCCGTTACCATTCTTCAGTTTGGCGAGTTTTACTCTTCTTGCAATATTCGAAATAGTATTTTCACCCTTTTATCGGATCTTCGACGATATACGATTTGCAGTTCGACATTTGATGTCATTAAGAGGACATGGCAAGAGCATCAACCTAAAAAGGGGGGGGTAATTTGGTATGTTGGGATGACATACGCATCCTCCAGTATGCGGATTGTTTGAATGCTCAAAACTCTTTAACGTCAACTTAGATGTCATTTCTTGCAGATAGTCTGTTGAGATCGTATTCACATTATGCACCATCCCCTGCCTTCTCGCTTTTCCAATAATAGGAAAAATGGAAAAGTGCGTTCCGTGAATGAAGTCTGAAGTGGGTACAGAAACGTCTCTGCGTTTACTTCGTTTCAATGAAAAGCTCGAAAATCCGCTATTGTTGCTCCACACTGAACACCATGGTCACTGGATCCTCAAGTGCCTTATCAAAATAAAGCTCATATAGGTAGCAAGTCACCTGTGAAAGTAAAGACCGAATTATAAATATATTATGGAGTTACTACGATCGACAAATGTGGTACATATTTATGAAAGGCCCTGTACTTGTCGCTGAGCAGATAGACGAGTGAATCGGACAGAATTAGCTCCATGCATTTTCTTGATACTGATTTCCAACAAGACGAGCAGCTTGAACTCATGGGACGTACGACAAAGAAGAAACTGAAATCGAATGCCTTCTGGAGGCTTATTTCCTGGGATAGGGTATTCACCCCCAGTTGTTGACCTCTTGGGTTCATCGCCGAGCATCCTGTGGTTCATTCGGGCTTCAGACGAAGCGGAGCGACGATCCATTCAGTTTCAGCGATAGTGAAGTATAAAGCAAAGACACTGGTGTGGTTCATCTCCCATCATTCCGGAAGTATCATACAAGTGAACATATATCTAATGGCATGATGAAAAACCCATTTCTTTATCATTTTGTACCAGTTTTTGGCCACAATAATATAACATTAATCCACTGAAGAAAAAAATGGAAAGCGAAACACACCTGAGACCCTTCACATGCAGTAATCCGGCTTCTCGACGGATTACTGCATGTGAAGGAATCCGGTTCCTCGACGGATAGGCCCATGGCATCTTCATGGAAATAACGAGGCTCATTGTCAGTCAATGTCTGGCACTTAGTAGTGACGATGGTAGATGAAACCTTCATTGCTTTCGAAAAAGGATGTTTTCATGGCCAACTCATGCAAAATGTATTGCAAAAAAAAAATTCCGAATAAGAATTGCTTCACAGCAAGTAATAAGGGTAGTGTAGAGTTTGCGATGGTTGAAAAATGTGGGGGTGGGGGAATTGCACCAGAGGGGTGACCATTCAACCTCAAAGGGTGCTGAACACTAAGGTGAGCAATCTCACCCTAGTTTCATTGTGATCATACTCACCCCTAGGGTAACTGTCCAGTGACGAAGCATGCACACCCTTGACGGTTCAAAATCTCACCTTTATTATTATAATTTGTGCAGATTTAAGCTGAAAAGCTTACTTCCCGTATTCCTTGGGAATTTCTTTCAACTGTAATATCACAAGCAGAGAGGCTGGTCAGCCCATACTTCATACGGAGAGACTAATCTTTCTGTTTGCAATGTTACTGTGGATGGAAAGAAATTTTTAAGGAAGCTATGGAAGGATGATTACTAGTCTAAACCTGGAAATTCCTACCCATACTGTACAGGGTGTCCATAAAAGAATGCAACAGTTTCAAAAATTAATAACTCGATAAGTAATGGATGAAATGCAGTGATCTTTGAATCGAAATGAAGGGGAAGACAGGAAGTTTATTCATATCCCGTTATAGATGTCGCTGACAGCTCGAAATGCGCGCGCAAGGGAATTTCCTAATTGGTGCCTATTTTGGCGCGCGCCTCACCCCCATCAGTACAATGGCCACCGTTCAGTAGAAGGCTCAATGCGTGCTT